GACTTGACCCAGTTACAAAATTCTAATTGTAAAGGAAATCAAGTCCACTTCTGGACTACTTGAAATCCTACGAGGTCGAATATTGTTCATTGTTGCAAATCTTGTACATCTGAGTGTGTATACCTTGTATTTTGTGCAAACCGTGTGTATAATTTAACAAGAAGTGTGTGTGTGTGTGTGTATCAAAGAAAGGTCTGCGCTAGTAGGGAGAAATCCCGGTCGGTTCGCGCCCGGCCAATTGCCGTGTTCTGATTTATTTTTTCTCTATCTTGAAAACTCTAAATCCTGATGGACAAAAAGCTTTTGCTCTACTTGATACTGGAGCACAAACTACCCTTATCACGGAGGAATGCGTTAAAAGACTTGGGTTGTCTCCCAGAGCAACTGATTGCAACTACATAATTCAAGGAGTTAACGAAATGGGAGAATGTTTAGAAACAAATAAAGTCGTTCACCTCACCCTTGGAAATAGAAGTGGAAAGGGTTTTCCCTTAGCAACCTATGCCCTAGTCGTACCTGTAGACCATGCCTGGTCAGGGTCCAACCCAGAGATTCTTACCTGGATGAAAACTCCATCTCAAAAGGCTATACTAGCTGACCCCCGGATTACTGAAACTGAAGCGATTTGGTGGGATATTATTATTGGAGGAATTGATATGATGACCGTTTCCGGTTCTGGAACCAGAAGATTATACGAAACAGACCAATTTTGCATTCAAGATACCATGTTTGGTGGAGTAGCAAGGGGCTTTCTTAGTGTTGAAGCTCCCTTCAAAACTCACAGAATAATTTCCTTTTCAGCCAAAGTTAGAGAAGAGAATCTTGAAGATACAAATTTTGCATTCAAGATACCATGTTTGGTGGAGTAGCAAGGGGCTTTCTTAGTGTTGAAGCTCCCTTCAAAACTCATAGAATAATTTCCTTTTCAGCCAAAGTTAGAGAAGAGAATCTTGAAGATACTCTGCTTAATCAGGAAATAACCAATCAATTGGTACGTGACAGATTTGATATCTTTGGTGAAAAAGACGAAGACAAAGCAGATTCAAAAGAAGAACTGCAAATTTATCTTGAAAAGCTAAAACTAAGTGAAACAGGCAGAGTCATAGCTCCATTACCCAAAACTGTGAGATTCCCTCAAGACTGCTGTAAAAACCTAATTACTGGAGAAATCCGAATCAAGTCTGTTGTTAACCTCCTAAGAAAGGGAGGATTGCTAGCCGAAGCCTACAAAGAACAAATAAACGACTGGGAAAAGGATGGAGTCATCACCCCCACCTCCCTTGAGGAACTTGACAAAAGGGGAACTCCATATACAGAACTCCCTCATCATGGAGTAGCTAGACCGGAAAGTAAAACAACCCCTGTTAGGGTTGTCATAGCAGGCAATGCCGCCGACAAGGGTAAAACTTCCTCAAACGACTTCCTTGATCAAGGACCTAACATCTTACCTGTCATACCCGATATCATAAATAAAATAAGATGCTCAAAATACTTTGGAGTGGCTGACATAAAAAAGGCCTTTCTTCAAGTTCAACTAGCTGAAGACGACCAGTGGCTCTTAATAATCAGAATGCCTGAACTGAAGGAAGATGGCTCTATTAAAACCCATTTTTTCAGATTTTTAAGGCTCCCCTGGGGCATAAGTTGCGCCCCTTTTGTGCTAAATGCCAGTATAAGATTCCTTTACAGAAAAGCTCACCAAGAAGGAATCCTTACCGAAATTGAGCTTCAGGAACTCGAAGAAAATACTTATGTAGATGATGTGGTTGTCTTTGGACAAACCTTTGAAGAAGTCAAAACTAAACTAGACAAGGTTACAAATATCCTCAAAAGCGGCGGCTTCATACTAGATAAATTCAGAGCTCACCCTGAAAAGGTTGAAGATATGTCAACTCAAAAGGCCTACAAACTTTTGGGGCTGTCCTATTGTCCTAAAACAGATACCTTCTCATCTTGTGCTGACAAAGTTACTGAATTTGTTAATCTCAAGAGAATCACCAAAAGACAAATAGCAGGAATCATTGCTCGCATATATGACCTAATGGGATGGGCAACTCCCTTTGTTACCTTAGCCAAACTACTATTTCAGACCTTCAACGATCAACATCCTAAAGCTGCCTGGGATTCTAAATTGTCTTTGGCTGAAACACAAAAATGGAAGGCTATAGCTGAGTCAGCAGCAAAACTGAACCAAATTAGGATTGAAAGACATCCTCCAATGGATCCTACTCTGAAAAGAGAACTGCATGTATTCACTGACGCCAGTGGCCTAGCTCTCGGTGCAGCAATTTATCT